GTAGGATGAGTAGAGCTAAATAAAAAACCACGCAACCAGCATCCTCTAATGCCAACGTGAAGGATCCTCCTCGTCGTCGCTTCCTAACACAACAGCAAGACACTACCCCCCAAACGATAACGCAAAAAAAAAAAAAAAACCAGGATGGGCATGTCAACCATCTCCACCACCACCACCACCACCACAACCAGAGGCTCAACTTGGAGGAGGGGAGCTGCATGAGTTCGTCCAACTACCCGGTGAACATAGGAAGGCTATGAAACGCTTCCTTATCCTCCCATTTGGGCAGCATAGATGCTTTGATTGGGGTCTCCTAGAGCACCTCGGAGCAGCGGACCCCCATTCGCACCTGCCTCCATTTCTCGACATGGTGTCACGTTCCCTCCATCAATGAGGTCATCTACCGAGAGCTTACCATTGAGTTCCTCGGCACTCTCTCCATTGCATTACTAACCAACTTTACCCTTGACAAGCCCGACAACATAACTTTTCACCTTGGAGTACATGTTTGATAGATGACCATCACTGAGTTCATAGAGGCACTCCAGATATACCCACCAAGATTTCTCACCACAAATGTACATGGTTTGATTTCAGAGAAAATATATACACCAAGAGTACGTTTGGTCACTAATATGTGGAGTACGCTGAAACACAGCCATGTGACAAAATCTGACCCTGCCCACTACAACGGGAATGATCTTCTTCTCACATGGTGTATCATCCACAACATTATCGCTCACTCTGTGGCGGCTATGGAGAGGAGTCTGGGGAGTGTGACCAAGAGGAGTTTGAACTTTTTCCTCTCTATAGTTCAAGATCCCCCTCTTGGTTTAGTCATATTGAAAACCCTACAGAAGATGACCTCCGACAAACAAATCAAGACCATCCATTGAGGTGCCTACATCACAAGGCTAGGTCGCCATTTTGGCATTGATTCAGTGGGTGCTCATTGCACCATTTCCCAGTCCACTCAACCACTCTAAAAAACCCCTTTGAGGATCTCGATTTGGTGGCAAAGGTAAATGTTCCAACAAACACTACCCTTTTCACAGTGATTGATATAATAGAACTAGTTGGGATTCTAACAATCTAGGAGTGTATTGTGCAAGTTTGGAAGGCCTACTAGTCTAGTTTTGTTTGAGCGTTAACCTAATGTAACTAATGCTTTTGATATGATCATGTTTGTGTTTGGTGGTTAAGGTGAATGGTGTGTTAGGCATTGTAGGCCTCCCTCCTCCTCATCCCCCTCCTCCTCTTGCACCGGATGAGGCAAATGCATCAGAGCATTTTGTTGAGCAAATGGCCGAGGAGACTCCGGAACAACCTGCATAGCCTCAAATCTACGAATCAAGCTAGACCATCCACCGACACATACTTATCCCATCTGGAGGCATTGGGTCGGCAGAATGCCCAAATTTTGGAGCAAAATGCACTCATTCTCTCCCGCCTTGACCGAGAGAAGGAAGCTCGACGCTACATCATCAAATGCAACCATCACATCATGAGGTCCTTGAGGATTGAATACAAAAATTTCCCCCGACCTTGAGAACTCTCTCCTAAGTCAACCGAGGAAAGCAAATGAAGAGAACAATGGCACCAATGAGGAAGAGGGCAGTGAAGAGGATGACGAGGGCAATGAAGATGAGTCAACCAAAAAAAGCAATGAAGAGGACAATGTAACTGACGAGGAAGAGGGCAGTGACTCTGGCGAGGGCAATGAAGAGAGCCAACTGAGGAAAGCAATGAAGAGGACAAGGGCACCGACAAGGAAAAGGGCAATATAGAGGATGACGAGCACACTGAAGATGACGAGGGCACTGACGAGGAAGAGGGGCAATGAAGATGAGCCAACCAAAAAATATTATTGAACTATGTAGTCCTTAGTACTTAGCTATGTGTGTTTGCGTGTGTGCTTGTATTTTCAATAAGAATATTATGATGCATCGGTGTGGACTACAGGCAACTAAACTTAAGCATTAATTAGACAAACTTTATCGTGTTATTGATGGTTGTTGAATTAGACAAACGTAATGTTTTGGCTGCTTTAACTTTTGTTTGCAGGGTATCTCATCTTATGTGATGTAGTGCTAGCTCTGTTCCTACTTAAGTCATGACAGAATTACTAGGATTTAGCAAGCAACATGTACATAAAATTTGCTTCAAGTTAATTTCAATTTTCAAGAATTTTATGTGATGGTCAATATTTGTTTCCAATTAATTTTAGTTTTTTTATTGCTACTAATTTATATACTATACAACTAGTTTAATTTCATGTAGGCAAAATCTATTTTTCTTTATATTAGGGTGCCTTATTATGTGCCATATTCCTATGATTTTTGACATGTGTTTGTCCCAAATATGATGTATCATCCATAAACACAAAGATTAACAATGTTTCTGTGGCTTGTACCATTATTACTCCAAGTTGTACCACAAGTCCGAATGTACCACCAGAACTTGTACCTATACGCTATGATACAATTATAAGTTGCACCTACACTTTCCAATGAATCCCTCTATCGTAAAACCGAAACTTGTATCAATACGCTATGAAACAACGATAAGTTGTACCCACACTTTCAAAATTCCCCAGTGGTACAACCCAAAATTGTACCTATACTATATGATACAACTAGAAGTAGTACCTATACATTATAGTACATGTTTAAGTTGTACCTACACTTTATAGAGTTGTACCTATAAGCTATGGAATAACTTTAAATTGTACCTATACTTTCCCAAAAATTTCTCAATGATACAACTCACAAACTTGTACCTATACAATGGTACAACTTTAAGTTGTACCTACACTTTTTATCAAATCCCTTTATGGTACAACTCCAAATTGTATCTATGCTTTATGGTACAACTTTAAGTTGTACCAACACTTTCTAACAAATCCCTCTATGATACAACTCAAAGTTGTACTTATACTTTATGGTACAACTTTAAGTTGTTCCTACACTATCTAACAAATCCTTCTATGGTGTAACCAAAACTTGTACCTATACCAATGTTGTCAGAACCGAACCGGTGTATCAACCGGTATAGTAAGTGGTTCACACTTTATTGGTTTAACCGGTACTAAGCCTTTATAAACTCGTTAATAAATGTCTAATAAATAAAATATTATAAGTAGATACCATTAATAGTGTTATAATTATATATTGATCCTAATATATTTTTAACAAATAAATTATAAGACAAGTAAAGATCATCATTTTACAGAAATATAAATTACTTAAGTATAATGTATTTGATTTTGCAAAATTTAAGAACACTATTTAATTATATTATTTCAAAACTAAACATTAAGTGATAGATTTATACTAAGATTGTTAGGTTTTACTACACAAATTAGTGACAGCACTATTGGTTTAAGCGCCAAAATTTTCATTACGAGGTATTGGGTTCGAATCCCAGGTCACATTGAATCCCAGCTCCCCATATGTGACTGATTTTTTCTGGTCCCTTAAAAATCTGGCTATTAGGATTCTACCCGGTAGAACCGGTCAAGCCGTTCAAATAGCTCGTCCGATTAACCGGTCGGTTGATGAATAAACTGTATGTTTCATCGATTGCAGTGAATAGACTAGCCGGAGCGGATTGAAGGCTGGGTCCCAGTTTCACCAGTCGGACCGACCGATTCGGTCCAATTTTAACAACACTGACCTATACGTTTAAGTTGTACCTATACTTTCTAACAAATTCTTCTATGGTATAACCAAAACATGTACCTATACATTATGGTACAATTTTAATTTGTACCTACACTTTCTAGAGTTGTACCTACACTTTCCCAAAAATCCCTCAATGGTACAACCCAAACGTGTACCTATACGATGCTGCAACTTTATGTTGTACCTACACTTTCTAACAAATTCCTCTATGGTACAACTCAAAATTGTATTTATATTTTATAGTACAACTTTAAGTTGTATCTACACTTTCTAACAAATCCTTATATGTTATAACCAAAACTTGCACCTATTCGTTATGGTACAAGTGTAAGTTGTACCTATACTTTCCAAGAAAATCCTTCTATGATATAACAAAAACTTGTACCTATATGTTATGGTACAAGTTTAAGTTGTACATACACTTTCTAGAGTTGTACCTACACACTATGGTACAATTTAAAGTTGTACCTACATTTTCTAAAAAATCCCTTTATGGTACAACCCAAACTTGTACATTTACGTCATGATACAACTATAAGTTATACCTACACTTTCCATCAAACCCATCTATGGTACAACCCAAACTTGTACCTTCACGCTATGGTACAACTTAAAGTTGTACCTACACTTTCTAAAAAATCTCTCATTGGTACAACCTAAAATTGTACCTACACGCTATGTACAACTTTGAGTTGTACCTACACTTTTGGAACAAATTACTCAATGGTACAACCCAAACTTGTACATATACAATATGGTACAACTGTAATTTGTACCTACACTTTCAATTATTGATTCATTATTTACAAGATTGCCATTAATGATGTGGGACAGGTCACTTAGTGGGTTTACCTCCTCAACAGGTAACCTTTTTTTTATAGCATGAGTGCTATATAGCACACTAGAAGGGCTCATTCAAGAGATACAAAGTTTATCATGTGACTAATTTATTGTTCAATGGAACGAGAACCGGAAAGATTAAGTTTCAAAAAACAAACAATAATGAAGAAAGGAAAATTATCGAATTTTTTTATTTTATTTTCATTTTTTTAGGACTATACGGGCTCGAACCGTAGACCTTCTCGGTAAAACAGCTCAAACTAATTATTATCAAAATGATTCGAACTGTTTCCAAGACCCAAAATGTGGGGCGGGTAACCACACCCACCCCAATTTCCACCCCTAGCTGTGGCAGTCGGGGCATGATTTAGTAATACGCCAATTTTTCCACTATTAGTAGATAAAATGATTTATTTCACTTCTGAATCCCAAACAATTCGATTTGGGGTCAATACACAAAGATTTAAGGTCATTTCTTCAAGTTGTTCTCATTTCTAAGTTCATAGCCTTCGCAGTAGCTTCATCAATATTACCTACCAAATAAAAGGCCTGCTCAGGAAGACTACCTAATTCTCCGGAAAGGATCAATTTAAACCTTCTTATGGTTTCTGCTAGACCGACATATTTTCCCGGAGAACCCCTAAATACTTCTGCTACAAAAAAGGGTTGTGATAAGAAACGCTCAATTTTTTGTGCTCTTGCTACAGTTAAGCGATCCTCTTCGGATAATTCGTCCAACCCCAGGATGACTATAATGTTGTAAAGTTTGCTTAACTCTTTGTGCAGTTTCATAATGGTCCTCACCGACGATATGAGGTTGGAGCATAGTGGACGTTGAATCTAAAGGATCCACTCCAGGATAGATCGCTTTAGCGGCTAATCCTCTTGATAGTACAACAGTAGCATCTAAATGTGCAAATGTCGTGGCAGGAGCATGGTCAGTCAAATCGTCTGCAGGTACATAAACCGCTTGAATGGAAGTTATCGACCCCTCTTTGTTAGAAGTAATTATTTCTTGTAAAGTACCCATTCCGGTACTAAGGGTGGGTTGATAACCCACAACGGAAGGCATTCTCCCCAATAGAGCGGATACTTTGGATCCAGCTTGGACAATACGGAAGATATTGTCAATAAATAGAAGTACATCTTGCTCATTAATATCTCGGAAATATCCTGCCATGGTTAGTGCAGTCAATCCAACTCTCATGCGAGCTCCCGGCGGTTCGTTCATCTGACCATAGACTAGAGCTACTTTGGATTCTGCAATATTGTCTTCATTAATTACACTAGATTCTTTCATTTTCATGTAAAGATCATTTCCTTCATGAGTATGTTCGCCTACTCCGCCAAAGACGGATACACCCCCATGAGCTTTCGCAATGTTATTGATTAATTCCATAATTAGTCCTGTTTTACCTACCCTAGCTCCACCGAACAATCCGATTTTTCCACCACGACGATAAGGGGCTAAAAGATCTACTACTTTAATTTCTGTTTCAAAAATAGATAATTTTGTATCTAACTGTATAAAGGCGGGCGCAGCTCTATGAATAGGGGATGTTGTGCAAGTATCTACCGGACCTAAATTATCAATAGGTTCTCCAAGCACGTTGAAAATTTTTCCTAGAGTTGCTCCACCGACAGGAACACTTAGGGCAGTTCCCGTGTCAATCACTTCCATTCCTCTCATTAAACCATCTGTAGCACTCATAGCTACATCCCGAACTCGATTATTTCCTAATAATTGTTGTACTTCACAAGTCACATTAATTTCTTGACCGGTGGGGTCTTGACCCTTAACTAGGAGAACAATGTACATATTAGGCATCTTCCCCGGGGGAAAAGCTACATCTAGTACTGGGCCGATGATTTGAGCCATACGTCCCGGGGTTGCTTTCTCAACTGCGGACCCCCAGGACCGGAAGTACTAGGATTGATTCTCATAATAATAAATAAAATAATTATGTCAATTTTTTCCCGAAAAATTTGGAGTCCAAAATATATTAATGCTCTAAGCAAATTGATCGATTAATTCAAAAAGAAATGCGAGTTAGTCTTCGATTTCGTTAAGACCATCACGCGAATCCAATTCGATTGTTTACTTTTATTTTCAATTTCAATGAGTCAATTTAACTTGAAAATTGACTCATTTTCAAAATATCAAGTAGATGAATAAAAAGGCTTCTTGAAACCTTTCATTTTCTATCATTCTAGACAATATTATCTATATTATATATGAAATTCGAACTTGAACTCTATTTACGATTTATTATTTGAGACCTTTCCGCCGATCGATTTCCACCTAGCTATTATGCTATTATTGTATTAATATTATTTAGTTCTATTTTTATTTTTTCAGAGACGAATTCAGTATATTTTCACATCTAGGATTTAGATATATAACATACATATATTACTATCAAGAGGAAATTTTTGATTATTTAGTCGATTCAAATAAAGATTAGAAACTTGAAAAAAATAAAGATTAGGTTGCGCTATACATATGAAAAAGTATACAATAATGATGTATTTAATGAATCAAATACCATGGTTTAATAACGAAATTCTGATTAGTTGATAAGATTGTTTGATAACTTCGTGAAAAAGATTCTTAATTCATGAGTTGTAGGGAGGGACTTACGTCACCACAAACAGAGACTAAATCAAGTGTTGGATTCCAGGCTGGGGTTAAATTTATAAATTAACTTATTATACTCCTGACTAAGAAACCAAAGATACTAAAAATACTATCTCAAATGATTAATGATAACCCGAATCTTTATTTCTTTTTTTCGATTTTCTATTTCTAGAGAAAAAAAGAGTTTTGGATCGATTCCAACTGAAGAAAGAATCGAATATTAATTGATCAAATAATTTATTCCCAAGTCTGATAGATAACGAATTAACGAGACGAGAATAAAGATAGAGTCCTATTCTACATGTCAGTATTGACAACAAGGAAATTTATAGTAAGAGGAAAATCCGTCGACTTTAGAAATCGTGAGGGTTCAAGTCCCTCTATCCCCAAAAAAGGCCTGTTCGACTCCCGAATTATTTATATCCTATTCTCTCTTTTCGTTAACGGTTTAAAATTCCTTATCTTTCTCATTCATTGAATTCTTTTACAAAAGTATTTGGGGTGAATTTTCTTTCTTTTCATAAGTTAAGTCTTGTAATAGATATGATATACATACAAATGAACAGCTTTTATTTGAGCAAAACTCGAGACTCCCGGAAATTGTAAGGATTAACAATCAAAATCATTATTCGGACTGAAACTTGAAAAGTCATTTTTAAGGATATAAAACGTTTCTAACATTTGAAAAAATTTTGAAAGGTTTTTTTGACCTTTTTTTAATCGACATAGGCCCAATCCATATAGTAAAAGTGAGGAAGTCGGCGGGTCGGAAATGGCCGAGATAGCTCAGCTGGTTGAGCAGAGGACTGAAAATCCTCATGTCACCAGTTCAAATATGGTTCCTGGCACATGATATGATAAATTTATGTATGACTATCTATTTGAAACTTAATTAAATTACTATATTGAATGATATACATATTCATTTATAGTATAAATTCTCATACTCACTAGGTGTCTGAAAATATAGCTTTTTTTAATTAAATGAATAACGAATTTATGTTATAAAGTATATAAAAAGTCGATTCTGGTTCCTCTTCTTTTTTATTTGTTCATAATGTGCCTCCGCTCGGTCAAAACAAAGGTTAATACTTCATTTTGGAAGGTTTAATTAGTTGGCTCAAACATATAAATGTTTAATTTATGGGAATTTGACGGATGAGAATATCCAAGATTCATTTTGGATACATCACAAATAGAATCCGATCCTCTTTCCCTTCGTTCTATTTTCTTTCACTGGATTCCTTCCTATCGATGTAACTTTATATAGCTCCTTTAAAGGATATGCGCAGTACAAAGTTCACGAGGCAAAATTCCTTTATTTTCGTCATATTAAATAGCGTTATATCTTTAAAATTTGATAATCCATCCAAGAACTCCCTAATTCTTATCCTTTTTTTTAGTCCTTTCTTTCGATAATCCATAATAAATTCAATAATAGAAATGAAATTTCAACGACTCTTTTGATCTAGAATAGATTAGAGAATGTACAAATATTCCTTGAATATTCGTAGTTCTAGTACTAAAAATTAGTTTCTTATTATTGAATTTCAATGAGCATCTTGTATTTTATAAAAATTGGGGGCAATATAATCCTTACGTAAATGCCACCCTATCCAGATTTCCGGCATTAAGATACATTTCAGACGTGGATGCTTATCATAAGAGATTCCCAACATATCATAAGATTCCCTCTCTTGAAAATTCGCGCTTTTCCAAACCCAGAACAGATGGAATTCTGGGCTTCTCCCTTGGGGCAAATACTTTTATACATACTTCTTCTGGTTGATCTATACCATACTCTATTCTCGTAAGGCACATTAAGAACGCAGATAATTGTAACCATATACATATAAAATGACAGCAATGGAATGACAATCCTTAGGCTGTATTTGTGAAGTCTCTATTCCTTGGTAATCAAAGCCCAAACTTCTATGAACTAGTCCATGTTTGACCAACCAAACAGACAAAGGGCCCTGCATCTGTTTTCTCTCTCCCGCATTTTTTTGTATAAGTATTTTTCATTTATTATACGATGAAATTTCTGAAGATTGACTTGATTCTGTACAAAGGAATCCTTCCTCGAATTTACTAAACTAATTCATGGGACGATATGGACATTTTGTATTTGAAAATTTTTTTCGGGGGGGGGGGGGGGGGGGGGGGGGGGGGGTGTTCCTGAGATAGACGATAGTTGATAGAGTAATTCTTGATCATAATTTCTAGTATGAGTAGTGCGGCCAATATGAAATTTGTGATTGGTAGTAAAACACTGATTCCCCTGTTGAGGCTTAATTTGATCTTCATAAATTTAGCGAGATAGTTTTTTTATGAAGTTTTGTTATAGCATCTATAATAGCCTCGGTTTTAGGGGGCGACCCGAAAATTATACATCTACAGGAATTAGTTTATCGACTCCTCGAACAGTACTAGAAGAATCTGTGCTGAACATTCCCCCGGTAATTGTACATGCTCCCATAGCAATAACATATTTTGGTTCAGCCATTTGTTCATATAATCTCACTAACGAAGGAGCCATTTTCATGGTTCCTGTGTCGCCTGTTAAAATCAGGTTTGCCTGTCTAGGACTATATCTTGGTACTAGTCCGTAACGATCAAAGTCAAATCATGAGCCTATTAATGAAGCAAATTCAATGAAGCAACAACTGGTACCATAGAGAAGTGGCCATAAACTGAAGAGTCTTGACCAAGAGCTCTATCGATCAAAGAAGCAAGGGGATGTTCACCATGATCCACGGACAGGTATAATTTTTAAAGCCAAATACTAGCCACCAGGGATGTATTCGAGGCTGAGGAAGGTTATGCTCCAAGTTATGTGTGAAGAATCTATTGGCTGCAAGAGATACTGTGAAGAAAGGGGTGAGGTGGAAGATTGAGAACATCAATAAGATCGACATATGGATTGACAAATCGATTTCTAGTGCAAAGAACTTCAAGATTCAATCTCCTATTTCTCCACTAGGTGCTACCACCTTAGTGAATGAACTAATGGACAAACAAACTAGAACTTGGAAACAAGGCTTACTGTAGACTCATTTCAATACCCAGGACAAATAAAAAATTCTCAAGATTCCTATTGATAGACAACTGTGTGAAGACAGAAGGATGAATGCTTCCCTACGGACACCAACATTGTTCACAAAATCCATAAGGGATGCGATGAGTGGATAAGAAGGATATGGTAACTTAGTGATTCAGTTTCTCTGTTTAATAAAGGTTATGAAAATACATATGAAGAGTAGATGGTGACATTGCAAGAATTTGAGCCCGATGAGAAGATTAGGATATTCCTGGTGTCGATCTGGTTTATATTGGAAGAGCAAAATTGTCAGTTGTGGAACAAGAAAAAGAGAGAAAATGGGAAATTATAGCTAGAGAGGAGAGTTGGCTACACGATTACCTAGCCTATCATCTGGTTGCTTCAGCGGCATCGACAAAGACTCAGTACATTTGGAAGCTTCCGGGGTCGACGACATTCAACATAATTGTCCACAGAGCAGTAATTGATGGGCAAGGGACTGGATTTGGAGTGGTGGTAAGGAGTAAAGATCATATGTTCCAATTGACTGCAGTTTAGTGAACCAGGACACAGTGGACGCCTGTAATGGCTGAAATTTTGGCAACTCGATATGGCTTAGAGGTGGTGGAGAACTTTGTCTTTCTTTCAGAAGAGGTGGAGACTAATTCTCATACAAGTGCATGTTACCTCACGAATGTAGGAAATGACAATGATCGTGGCGAGCAACATATGTAACGAGATCAGAGACATTAACCAGCGTCTAGGCTCAATTCTTTCTCCTTTTGGGGTCGGGTAAGCAATGAGGCCGTCCACATCATGGCCCACACAATTTTTAATTGGCATGAACTATAATTTTAGATAGATAGAGCCCCTATCTTTTTAGTTTCCCAATTTCTCTTATTGGACTCCTTTAATATTTCAGTCACCTAAATAAAATAATACATGTTATTTATTAAAAAAATCTCTATTCATACAAATAAAAAACAAGTAGACAAGTGAAAGTGAAACCAGGGAAAAAACCTCAAAATACACAAGTAATTAAAAAAATTTCCAAAACACATAAGTTATAAAAAATTCCCCAATCTATACATGTTTGACATTCACCGCCTTTGTAAAATGCAGTGAAGCCATTCCCCGCGTTCAACAAAAACGGTGAAATTATCACCTTTCTATCGCCGCTTGAGAAAACAACGGTGAAGTGTTCCCCGCCTTTGTTAAAAACAGTCAAATAATCACTGCCTTTATAGAAACAGGGAACACTTCACCGTTGTCCTCCAAAGCGATGAATCCTTCATCGCGCTAGGTTACGATGGTGAACAATTGCCACATTTCCCACCCTTGGTAGGTGAATAATTAGGTCACAACCACCTAACCTTCACCGCCTTAGGGAATGGTCGGGTGACAAACTCAGACATTAGGATTAATTATGAAGACGGTGAATCCACTATGTTGAAAATTGAGTCGAGATTCACGTGGCAAGAACTCCGTGACATTTGTGCATACATGATTTGTATGGACGGACAGACGAGAGTTGGTAAAATTATCTACCGGTATCTAGACATGAGTGTTGGTGGGGTTATGTACGAAACCTTTCTCATAAACGATGATGACGTGGTTACCATAATGTTACAGTTCCTAGGCAACAACGGAATGCGGCTTGCAAAGATGTATGTTGAGATCGAGGCAATCGGTGAAACTCATTCTCACCAACATTCTTATGATGATAGTTTTGTAGGAGGGTACGGATGGGGGTGGTAGTTCAAGCAACTACGGAGGAGGTAGTTTTGCAGGAGGGGTTCCATGGGAAGAATACCCGCAACGAGCTGAACCTGCCCCATTTGTTGAACCCGACGGAGTTCAATGGCCTACTTGGGGCCCAGAGTGGGCTGACATTGAGAACACCATTCGATTTGGGCGTACTTCGTAGGAGCGAGAATACGATGTTGGTGATGGTGATCACGATGATCCTTCTGGCCCGAGCTATTCATTCAACTCCATCGATGAGGAAAGTGAGGAAGATTTGAGATAAGTGAGCGAGGAGGAAGATAATGATGATACAGACGACAATGTGGCATTTCGTGAGCCACCAACGCCATACTACACAAAAGTTCCATCTCAATTTTTATATAGTCAAAACTATGCCTCCGACTTTGTCCCTAGGCAAGTGTATAATCTAATGGCGAATTTAGAGGTGGGTATATGGCGTTCCCATCGAAAGACGCTGTTTAAGATGCTTTTAGCGAGGAAGCCATGCGGCATAATTTCGAGTGGAAGGTAAAATATTCTAATGGGAAACAACTACATGTCATATGCAAAAATGCTGTAGAGGGCTGTATGTGGGAACTGTGTGCTGCAAATATGAAGAGAAAGGGTGCCTGCGTCATTCGAAAAGCATAGAACAATCACAGCTGCTCCCCGTCCATACTTTCCCAGGATCACCGCCAACTTAAAGCTAAGAAAGTGGGGAGAACCATTAAGCACTTGGAAAACAGAAGGCCATGGCTGAGATGTATGGTTATTGGGACGGCTCGTATGCTTTACTCCCTAGACTAATGGCCGCAATGAAGGAGTCCAACCCTATGACTATTTTCGTGCCATGTTACAACAATGTACAAACTGAAGATCAAGTTCGAGTACAGAATGAGTTGTTGTTTCACCGTCTATTTTGGGCATTCAAGCCATGCATTGACGGGTTTGCCTTCTTCTTTCCAGTGATCCAGGTATATTAATGACTAATGTTCTAAAAGTTTATTTTTTAACTAAGTAATATTTATACTACTTAAATCTAATTTTTAAACAAGTTGATGGAACTTTCCTTACGGGGAAGTACATGGGAACTCTTCTCATTGCCACTGGGGTTGATGGAAATATGCGGATTTTTCTGCTGGCATTTGCATTAGTGGAAGGGGAGAATAACTTAAGTTGGGCATGGTTCTTTGACCAGCTACACGACCACGAGACACATCGGCAGGGTATTACGATTATATCCGATCGACATGTCGGGATTAGGAACGCCGTTGGTGGTTTTCCCGACGAATGGGGATGGACATGGAGTCGTTGGTGTATTCGACACTTTCTTGACAATTTCCAGCACAAAATTGGGAATAAGAAAGACATAAGAGATCCATTGTGGGTGCAGGTAGTAATGTCTTTTTGTGAGAGTTAATTACTCATTGTTCAGATGAAATTTCTCATGTATTGACCAGTAATGTTTTTTCTCCATGAACCGGTTGCACAACAACAACAAAAATATGAGCAAAAGATGAAGACGAATCGTCAGATACACCAGACGGAGCAATATGGGCTGAAAGTCAAGATTTGCACATGTGGACATTCCATATGCACAACGGGACCAGATTCGACATTTCAACTACCAACCATGGCGAAAGTATAAATGAAGTGTACAAGGGCCTTAAAGCGATACATGTTTCTGTGATAGTGGAGATGTCATATTGGAAGGTCAACGAGTGGCTTGTGCAGAGACTTCAAGAAGCTATAGGGAGGGAGCATGCTGGTCATGCGATAAAACGTCGCGTCTTTGATCAAATGCAGAAGAACGATGAAATCAAGTAAGCATAGAGTTGTTCTTTTAAACCGTAGTGAAGGGGTTTTTGCTGTCGAAACGGGTTTATGGGGTGACCGATGATGGCCTCTCCAGTGATCGGCAGCCCGATGAGGATGACAACGTCTTTGAGGATGATCATTATTTCCCCCTGCGGAAAGTGGAACGTATGGGTTTCAGGGCGCCATTGCCGTCAGCAAATCGTTTTCGATCTCAATCCCCAAGAAATGCCTCACCATACACAACCCCGTCATCTCTAGATACGGCGAGAGTCGATCATGCCAAACGGGCAAGTTTGTGGTCCCTTTATGAATGACGGGAATAAGTGATTCCTACAAAAAACGCCAAGTTATTAGTCAAAGGAAAGCAAAATAAAACCTTTTAAAGTAATGAAATAATTTAAAAAAATTTAAGTACGTGGTGTTTATCGGATTGTTGTGCCAAATTGCACGCGAGCAATGTGTTTCTTGCTCGTATAAATACTTTGTATCTCTTGGCCCATAATGGATATACAATCGAGGATCGTATATCTCAGCACCCAACCATATAAAAATTTGAATGAAATTAAAATAGTTCGATAACAAAAAATAAATCACAAAAGGATTACCAAGAACATACCCGAAGAGCCGTACAGAGATTCGATGGGTTTTTAGAGGGGAGGGCTTTAGGATATAACTCTAGTAATTCTTTCTGGTGTGAAAGATCAGACTTAGCCGCAACCACAAAGCATACTTAGAACGAAACTAGAGTGGAGGAATGGAGGGAGAAAGAAGAGTAGTGTGGTGGTGTGATTTGGAATAGGGGAGAAGGGTGGTATTTATAGGGTAATGGGACTGCTGGAAACAAACACGCTGAAATCACCGCCATCGTCAAACGTGGTGAAGACCCCGCTTTTCTCGAAGGCGATGAACGACTAGGATCCTTGACGACGACGTGGGAGGCTGCGAGGCGTCGGATCTGGAAGGAAAACTAGAATTCACGCCTCACTGCATCCGACGGTAGCGGTGAAAGGGCGGGGGGACGTGGATCGCTGACGTAGACAACAGGGCATTCCCCGCATTTGTCAACGAAAGTGAATGTCACGCGTTCGTCCACGTCAGCGATCCGTGTCCCCCAACCCTTCACCGCAGCCGTCCGATGCGGTGAATTATTTCCTGCTGTAAACGAACGCGGTGAATTCTTCCCCGTGTTTTATTAAAACGGTGATGCATTCACCGTTTTTGTTTAAACTGGTGATTGCTTCACCGTTGTTGTATTTGACGGTGATTGTATTTACTTTATTAGACGACGACAATGAACGTCAAACATGTGTACTTTTGAATTTTTTTATAACTTACGTATTTTGAAAAAAAAATTAACAACTACTGTATTTTGAGATTTTTTTTCTGAAATCAGAGCCTAAAGCAACAACTATATTATCATTAGTATTTCTGGTGGAAAGCCCGCCTCTATCAACAACCAAATTGAGCTTACGTTAACTACTAAAATAATTTTATTTTGTTTCGTTTAAGTACTAAAATTATTGAAAATAAAGGAAGAAACCATATATTCATTCCAAGATCAAAGAAGCATGGGCGTATTTCTGTACAATCCTAAGGAAATCGATGGCTACAAGGACAACACCGACACATTTTGCACGACACTGGGGGCTGCGGTCTGTGCCAAACTCTCCAAAGCGCCAATAGGAAATAAAGAGAAACCAAGGAAAGAAGGTAGAAACAGACGAGAATTCTTGAATTACCTCGACGTAATTAAATTTGATATAGTTTTAAAGTGGCAACTGGCAAGTCATTGTTTAAGCAGCTCCGTGGAAATTGTCAAGTTGCCATCTCTTAATCCGCAAAGAATTGTCAAGTTGCTTCCCCAAAAGAAAAAACAAACAATTACATGACTTAGCAATTAGGGGTCAAACTGTGACTTTCCCATCTACTGTAGTTTGGTTCCAGATCTGGAATTCAGTCTCCAGGTTGGAGGAATCAAGAGCTGAAAGAGCAGGAACGAATCAAACACCAGTTTGTAGCTCTGCTCTGCTCTGCTCTGCTCTGTTTTCCTCAGCAAAGCCTTCTTGTTTCGGTTTACTCGCGAAGCTCCGGAGGAGATGGGGTTGGTGGGCATCCCAGAAAACGGGAAAGGAGAAATGGGTCTGGATTTGGGAGCCAAGAACAAGTACAGGAGGATGGATTCCGAGCTCGCCGACGCCGATTTCGACGACGCTTCTGATTACATCCATCAGCAACAGAGGAAGAACAGCACGAGGAAGTACGTTCTCGCTTGCGCCGTCTTCGCTTCTCTCAACTCCGTCCTCCTCGGCTACGGTACTACCAAAATCCCCTCACCACAAATTCTTCCCCCTTTCCTTGCAAAACCCGCCCGTAAACGAAATTAGTTCAGTCACCATTAATGTTCTCTGCAGAAAAAAATTCCATCATTGCTCTGTTTCAGACGTCTGGCACAAATATCCCTCACCAAATCCTCATTACTAATTAAACCACATCTGGCACTCCACGTGGCTTCATTTTCCAAAATCTGCAGATGTAGGAGTGATGAGCGGGGCAATCCTATTCATCCAGGAAGATCTACACATAACCGAGGTACAACAAGAAGTCCTCGTCGGAATCCTAAGCATCGTCTCCCTCTTCGGCAGCTTAGCCGGCGGAAGGACTTCCGACCACATCGGCAGGAAATGGACAATGGGGCTGGCCGCCGTCGTCTTCCAATCCGGAGCAATCGTGATGACATTCGCTCCGTCGTTCCAGATCCTAATGATCGGCCGATTTCTCGCCGGGGTCGGAATCGGATTGGGAGTTATGATAGCTCCCGTCTACATCGCCGAGATCTCCCCAACCGTCGCCAGAGGATCCCTCACTTCTTTCCCCGAGATCTTCATCAACCTGGGGATCTTGCTCGGCTACGTCTCCAACTACGCGTTTTCGGGCCTCTCGGTCCACACAAGCTGGAGAGTAATGCTCGCCGTTGGAATCCTGCCATCGATTTTCATCGGCTTCGCGCTCTTCATCATCCCCGAATCGCCCAGATGGCTCGTGATGCAGAACCGAATCGAGGAAGCTCGATCCGTCCTCGTGAAAACAATCGACGACGAGAACGAAGTCGACGATCGGCTTGCCGAGATTCTAGTTGCCGCCAACGCCGGAAGTTCTTCATCCACGGGCGATGATAATAACAATAATAATCACAGCAAGCACGAGCAGAAGGCGGTGTGGCGAGAGATGTTAAGCCCTTCCCCTGCTTTGCGAAGAATGTTGGTCACAGGGTTTGGGATCCAGTGTTTCCAGCAGATTACAGGTATCGATGCAACCGTCTACTACAGCCCTGAGATCTTGAGAACGGCCGGAATCACGGACAACACGAAGCTTCTTGCGGCAACGGTGGCGGTGGGGGTTTCGAAGACGCTTTTCATCATGGTGGCGATTCTGCTGATCGATAAGGTCGGGAGGAAGCCATTGTTGTACGTGAGCACGATTGGGATGACTGTTTGTTTGTTCAGCCTAGGGTTCACGCTGACGGTGATGGGCCAGGGAGCGGTTGGGATTGGGCTGGCGATCTTCTTCGTGTGCGCGAATGTGGGCTTTTTCTCAGTGGGGATTGGGCCGGTTTGCTGGGTCGTGACGTCGGAGATATTTCCGCTGAGGCTACGAGCGCAGGCGGCGGCGCTGGGAGCGGTGGGGAATAGGGTTTGCAGTGGGGTGGTGGCGATGTCGTTTCTGTCGGTGTCGAATGCTATAACCGTCGGCGGGACGTTCCTGGTGTTCGCGGCGGTGTCGGCGGTTTCGGTGGCGTTTGTGTACTGGCTGGTGCCGGAGACGAAAGGGAAGTCGTTGGAGGAGATTGAGGTGTTGTTCGAGAGCGAGCGTGGGTGGCGTGGAGGCGGGAAGGGCGAGGTGGAGATGGGAGACGCAGAGCATCTCGTGCAGAATGAATGAGAAGAAGGGCAGAACGTATTAATGGCGATTCTGAGCAGAGTTGGCTGCTGCGAAAGGGAAGAGTGAGGAATCGGCAGCGCAGAAACAGAAGGAGAGGAGAGTTAAGCAGGCATTGGTTGGTTGGGAGGGATAAAGCTGTTCTTGGCTTCTGGGTTTCAATTGGTAAAATCTTGCTGTCCAGGGAAATGGGGAATTTGATTGTACTCATTGTTATATGTTTATAGAGGAAATGGTAAGGATTGTTTCTCTGTAATCTTGCCATTTAGAGTACGGTGTAAATCGCAGAGGTAAAGATAAACTTCGACGTTAATTTGTTCTTCATCTTTGAAGAACAATGTCTCTGTAATCTTGCCGTTTAGAGTACTGTATATCCATGCTCGCTTACACAATGAAAGTACCTGCTACTCTGCAGAATTGCATCATGAAAGATTTTGATTTCATTTGAGACATAGCTTGTACAATAACAACAGAAGGAGATGGGGTGATCTCATTACAAAGTCTAGTTTCCTCGTGGTATATTCTTCAAAATGTGGTGATTGGATTTGGAGTCTATCCTGCTCATGGTTTGTTCATTTCAAGCCAACCCAACAAGTTTCTCACTTACTTCCCACAGCTTTTTGGCCTTTTCAGCATCACTAGCTTCTTCAGAGAGCTGGTTCTCGAATGAAGACGAGTTCTTGTTCCAGCTCCAGTAGACACCCGATTTTGTAAGGTACGGTTCGCTAACAACCTGAAATCAAAGTTGGTTACTTTTTTCGTTAATTGGAGGAGAATGAAGGAAAGAACAAAATTGAAAGGTTTCTTTCTGATAATCAGACCTGTGCGAGTCTCTTGCCAGCTTCTTCCTCGGAAACATAGCCTTTAGTAATGTACTTCTGGAAAGGTGGGAATAGAAGCCTGAACAAAGGCACATGCTCCCTGAACAAACCCGTCTCAGCAATGCAACCAGGGTAGAGCGAAGCGAAGGCAACTCCTGTCTCCTCGTGGTAACGCCTGTGGAATTCTTGCATCGTGAGCATGTTGCAGACTTTGCTGTCTTTGTATGCCTTGGCACCATCGAACTCTCCCCCGTCTATCATTGAGGAAGTGTTCACCCCATTCAAGCCACCAGCAAGCCCTCTCAAATCCCCCAGGTTAGCCTTGGGCGGCACGTTCCCGGCCAATGTGTTTGTGTTTCCTGGATTGTAACAGCATTAGTGAAAGAAGCTATGGAGTGGCTTATATTGCCATCACTGTCAGTTGTTTGATCATCCTACTACTACTAATAATAGATACCTGTTATGGAGCCGACAATAATAAGGCGTTTGGAAGGGTAATCCGATTGCTTCAGGTCATCGAGAAGCAGCCTGGCGAGAAGGAAGTGGCCAAGGTGATTAGTCCCAACACTGAGCTCAAACCCATCAGCTGTGTAAGTTGGTTCCTTGGCCGTGGGCAAATAGACAGCAGCATTGCAGACCACAACATCAACAGGCTTCCCCGAAAGCCGAACATTCTCAGCAAATTGTCTGACGCTGTTGAGTGAGGCAAGGTCGAGGTGCATTACTGTGTAGTTCTCCTTCGGGATGCCGGATGATTTGGCTGCCTTCTCCGCTTTGAGAAAGTTTCTGCACGCCATGATCACATGCCATTCCCCTGTTTGGCCTAGAGCCCTGGCTGTGGCTAGCCCTAGCCCTGATGAAGCTCCTGTGATTATCACGTTGCCTTTTCTCTTGGTCTTTTTCGCATCTGGCGTGGAATTGGTCATTGCTGGGGTTGTAGCAGCAGTTTGTGCTCGGACTACTAGTGTTCCAAAAGCCACTTCCCTTTTCCTGAATTCCTGAGTATGCAAGGTTTACAAAAATGATAATCACAGCTATCAAGGTTACAGTCTCATTGATCCCCACATCAACAATTCCCTAAAACACCTCAAAGTCGCGATTTTTAGCTTGTTTTTCTTATTGCAGCATGCACAGATCAAAGGGTTCTCAATAGTATGTGGGCAGTTAACTAACCTTGCTTCTTATCAGGGGTGTCCATGATTCTGCTTTCAGGCTGAATGGAACCGAGATTGAGGCTCCGAAAAATCCAGTTTCCTTGAGAGAAGTTATGGACTTTCCCTGAAAGAACAACAGAGGTAAGAACAGTTTCACTGGAAGTGGCAAATCACTTTAGAAGGGTACTAAACTAACCTCTTTGTTGAGGGAACCTGTGGGAGAAATGGTGGTGGTTGCTTGAAGAGCCATTGGTGCAAACTGTCGACGAGGTGGTGATTGGATAAGTGCCGAAGGTGGGGGGAGGTTTTCTTCTGCTTTGCAGAGTAATGAGTTTGAGTGGGAAGAGGATAAGAGACAGCAGGGATAAACCTGTTATGATATCCAATCAATTTTTGAGTTCCAGATTTCCATTTCCGCTGCATAATTGCTTCTGGTACTGTTGGGCCCGTCGGAGAGTCTGTAAGAGCCTCCCAATGTTTGATGAGTTTGTGAATTGTGATTTCTGATCCTCCAGAACAACCGTAAGCATGGTAAGCGTTTTACACAGAAGATTGGGCTTAGCCCATATCTGTAGCAATTCATTTATAGCAGAACTGGTCGTGCTTCATACGCGGGCCTAACCCAACAAATCCGTGAGGTCGATTTCGACTTTTCGAGTAACTAGGTCTTTAATGATAGGGGTGCAATGGTTATATCAAACCAAATTGATATTTGGATTGGGTCATTATAATGCCGCTTAGTATGTGGTCCATTAAATTTTATGAATATTAAATAAAATACGAACTGAATTGATATTTGGATTGAAACAAACCGAGCCAAATGTAATGATGGTTTTGTTTACTATTAGACCGAGTTCTCATGGGTTGTTCAAATATTGGTATTGTGTGTCTATTTTTTTGTTAATGATCTAGTATTCTAACATCCTAGACTTGGCCGCTTCTGGTAAATATATGCTAACTGCACACTTTCTTTCATTCTTAACCAATCGGAGTTTGAAAATCCATTGAAATCATAAAATATCTTATAACAAAGCAGATGATCAGACAACGTAAGTACAATACAAATCCAAAGGAAGTCAATGTCCTCGACTAGTCAGGTTATCTACATACTTTTTACCCTCTTTGCATATATGAGAAAACTCAACCTCCAAGTTTCTCTCTAGAAATTCTCGAAATTAAAGACTCAATGTAACATGATTTGCTCCCATCGGCGCATTGTATAAGCCGTTCAACGCAACATGAATACCCATGTACTCGCACTCGTCTATATCCAACATGCCTAAGCATAAAAGACCTTCTAAATCTTAACTCTGCTTATTGTTGTGTTGATGGAGCATATCCCCAAATTGATTGTGAACCCTAACAAGCATTGCCTAGTAGGGATGACGACAAAACTCGGATCCACGGGTACCCTATCCGACCAAACTGGTCAAAGTGGGTGAACCCGAGTTGATGGTTTGCTGACAGGGTTCGGGTTGAAACTCATTTTACTGTTCAACAAGTTAGGTTTGGATTTAGGCATCCCGACCCATATGGATATCTGCCTCACCAATATCCCACAACCCTTCGATCCTCAAACCTCAACCCCTTAAACAATTTGTGTGGATAATTTGTGGGTTTGCTTGTATGTACTAGATTTATGTTTTTGTATGGATAATTTGTGTGGGCAGACTGGTGTTAGACTTTTATTTTGACAAGAGATTAATATTATACATTTTTTTCCATTAGAACCCATGAGTATCCATGAACCCCACGGATACCTAGCGGGTTGGGTTTGAGGTTCTAGAATCCGTTGGGTTTTTCTCCACTTTCTTTTTGCAGAAATACCCTTTGGGTTGGGTTTGGATTTAGTAATCCCCACCCAACCCGACCGATTGCCATCCCTATTGCGTAGTGTGATCTATGATAAGGGCCACCCCACTAGTGCATGGCATGAATTAGGATGAACAAGCTATCAAAATTGAGAGTAACTTACTCAATAGAAGGTGCCCACCATCATGTGTACACACATCAGAGGTGGCCATGCATCGTTGTAGCCTTTCAACATTTATGAGGATGAAATTCCTTTTCAAGAGCCATAGGAAATGCTTGACTTTTCTCTAACCCTCCCATCGCTAGACAGTATTCCAACTCAGCTCCAGATCGATTCTCATTGTATTATTCTCAGACTGTTCGGCGGTTGCTCACTTGCCTTTACAAAAGAATTAAATCATTAGCGAAAAACAAAATGAGAGAGACGGGCTACCTAGATGCTATCGTTGATGCACTTTCAAAATGGCCTAACCTCTATCTCTTGAAAAGTCGTTTGTAACATCCCACACTGCGAATAATCGATTCAATTTTGATTTTAGCGAAAAAGGAATGTTTTTACTCAAGACTAATGACCAAATCGAACTAGCCAAACCCCGAGAAATTAAAAACCATTTCAATTGATGTGAGGAGACAAGATTTACAATCTAATTTTGACTCCGTAAGGTTGGAAATCCTTCTGCGATCAAGTAGGATTCGTCGAAACTAGATTTTATGTCCAAACGAGTGAGATATGTTATTTTCAAATTTCTACCATGTCGTTGGAGTTTTACTAATGTTAGTATCTAAACTAATTTATGTGCATATCTTTCGTTTAAAGTTCAAACGATGAGTTGTTTGCACCCACACGATATTGGCAACGAGAAGAAGCTTTTGAGGGGGGGGGGGGGGTAATATGAATTGTTCAACTAAAACTCACAGTTTCGACAACACGAGCGTAACATTTGAGTTTTTTGAACTTAGAGAATGTGAAAAGGGTTCAGTCGATTTTAGGGATTTTGACTAAACGAAGAAGAAAAGGGAGACTGTCGAACTGAGGAAAACGGAAAAAAGAAGAAGACAGCGAGACTTCTTCTGTCCGTTTCTCAACCAACCGAAGCAAAGGAAAATGGGCTTATTGTTTGATTGGGCCCAAGAGAACAAAACAAGAAGGGAAACCAAAGATGATTATTGAGTGACTAAGAATGGGCTTCAGGCCCAGTCTTCTTTCTTTCTCTTGAGGATAGAACAGACTCAACCCAACAGCTTATCACCCACACGAACAAACAGAGTAGGAACACAACAGAAAGTAAAGTGTAGAAATATAAAGAACACTGAGACGTTTTTAACGTGGTTCACCCACTGAAATGGCTACGTCCACGTCCTAGTAATCAGTTGACAGTGATTCTAGGAGACTCTATTTAGATTTTCAATCAAAGAAACACAAAGAGAACAATAGGAAAACCAAACAGAAAAGGAACAAGAAAACCCCATATCACAATCCGATCCGTATCAACCTTGGCAAGAACAGAACCTTTACCCTTGTCATTGCCAATCCCTTTCGCACTTAGAACCCCTCTACCAGTAACTATGATGTGCACAAGTTGAACTCTTATTACAAGATACAACAGGTATATATAGAGGGACTTTATAGACGTTGAACTATTTAGCTAGAGAAGGAAGGTTTCCCAAAATATGTCGAGTTCCTTCTTCGTCTCCTTGATTCAAGCAACTGTAGCAATTCTTACTTGAGTTAATGACTCGACTCTACTGTCACTCCAGGAATTGGCCAAGTGAAACCACTTCCTAAAGCGTAGTATAGCGGGTTTGGGTTTAATTATCAACCCGGGTCCTAGATATGATGACTACTCAGTGAATTCGTGTTATCTAGCAATGAAACTGGAATGCGAGTCTAAACTATCAAACTAACAAAGCAAGTAAACTGTTGTACTCAGGTTAAGAGAGGTCACCCGGATATGGTTCCCCCTAGACTGCAGTTAAGCCGGATTGTAATTACCAAGTTCAGTTTCTATGAAAGTTATACTGCGGAAGGTTCTTAAACAGCCTGAAGTCTCGACTAAAGGTCTTCAGACCCTCTCAATCTGAATCTGTAGCGGGTGACTAACCTCCACCGGAGTAGACAGATTGAGGCCCTAAGAACGAAACCTCCACTACCGGAGTAAATCCGGTATAGAATAGTGAGTTGGTTCCTCCACTAAAGTCACCAACTCCCTACCTTCAATCAAGGATACTCTATTAACCTAGGCAGATATTCTCATTCTAGGTTAAAGCAGAAACAACAGGAATTTGATCAGGATTCAAGTCATTCAATCATTAAAACCACAATCAAATATAATCAATCATAGAATCAGTACTTGGGTTCATACAATCAAACCTAACATACAAATCTAGGGTTCTCCATACCCAGATGAATGGGAGAACTACTCCATGGAGAAGAAAGCAAACGCAGAATCAGACACGGAATTCATACTGCGAAGGATGGATTCCTGCTTCTGGACGTTGATTGGCACTTCTCCAAGCTCAAGCTGGCCTCCAATGGTGTTGAAGATCAATCTAGGGCACTTGGGAACTCTTGCTCGTCACTTTCTCTCTCTAGGAATCGTTCTATCTCTCAAAAACTCGAATCCCCTTCTGTTTGGCTGAAAATCTGCTCAAAAAGGCATCATTGGCCAAAGCACGGTCGAGGGCACTGCCGTGCTTTGCCTGAGTCCGCCCGTGCCTCGGCCAGGCTTAATTACACGGCCAGCAGTTGGGAGAAACACGGCCGTGCTTAACGTTGGACACTGCCGTGCTTTGCTGAACACGGCCGTGCTTTGGTGCCCGTGTTTGCAGCTGAAGTGGCCAAACCGAATTTGCTCTCGGCATAAAAAGCACGGCCATCAGTACACGGCCGTGTAATGCCTTAGGTGTGCCCGTGTTTTGGCTCCAGCTCACCGAAATGACTTCCGAATGCCCCGAAACTCGCACTTAGCCTTCCCTTTGACACCTGGGACCTGAAACATGACAAAATAGCACAACCCGACGTAAAATAGGCCAAAACACACGACTATTCCCCTCAAACGGATAAGAACTAGGGGCGCAAACATGTGCAATTACATCGTTATCAAACTCCCCCACACTTAACCGTTTGCTTGTCCCCAAGCAAACCAAGTCAGACACAAGGTAAGCTCAAAACAACAAGGCATGATATATCGGCACAAAACACGTGGATCATACTGGCTTTCGATCATTAACACATGGACAACCTCACTGACAACCTAGACAACCACCACAGATGACATTCGAATGCAGTAAAATCGAGCAAAGGAAGAGTCTCCCTTCTGTTCACCAACCAACATAGACTTGACTCAACCACTTGTTCAAAACAGTCACATCATGCACAAAGTTCAAGATATCAGAATTAAGACCGAGCAATCTAGGTCCTCACCGGGATAAAGAGCATAGAGAATAAGAGAAAATGAATCGCTCACTCTCGACCAGTGGGGTCAGGACAATATGATGCGAAAAATGCGCATGCTTAATCTCTCAATCCCTAACATCTCTTCACCATGAATGCAGCCTCTAAGTGCTAGAGTTCACATATGGGGTGTCATCACTAACTAATCCGGAGGTCTTAGACACAGGTTCAGATGACTGGCTAGGGTCTTGGACATGGGGAAAAAGCCTTTTAGGTGGTGGAAGTATTCATACAGCACAAGGTTCCACATTCCCAAACCCAACAGATTCGCAATCAATCGAACCAATAACTT